AGAGTACTGTATTTGCTCCCAGAAATTTCTTAAGCACTTTGAATGCTAGGCATAAGTGAAGTCCAGCTAATATTCTTCCTCTCTTCTCCCAAAGCAATGGAGGGGATATTCATAATTCAGAAGAGGAGGTTTTCTGCCCAGAGCCCAAAATTGCTGTGAAACTGTTGAGCTTCTTTAAAACCCCTGCTGTGTCTCACCAGTGTCCCCCCCCCCACACTTATTTTCAATAATTATGAAAAAATGCCAAATTGGACCTATTGGGTTATAAAATGAAGCAGATATCTAAAAATAAATTAACATGCTTCCTTGTTTTTTTCTTTGTTCTATATCCTTAATATACTTCTTTCCTGGAGACACCATAGATATTCTCCCTATTTAAACTGTGTTGTGCAACTTGGCTGGTGATTGAAATATCCTGAAACAGACTTTGGAAGTTGACTGTAGCAGTACATGTCAAAAAGAAAGGACACAGATTTAATGCTTACGACACCTCATCATGTCCAAATTCAGGGTCAATTAGGCCATTCTTAATTTCTTGTCAGTAATTAAGGCCAAGTATGAGCCCGAAAAAGTTAGGCAGTCTTACAAGTGCCCACCTGACAAGCCAAATAAAAAAGTATTTGGCAATCTGTCTGCACTGTCAAGTGAGGTCCCAAGTGGAATTTTATTGCCGTGTTTCGGTTCTCCCAGGTTCAGGAGACCAAAAAAAGTAAGGAAAGCTTAAAAATCTTATTAAAGAACCATGTTTGACGAAATCAGGAATTGAAATTCTTTGGGGTGAAAGATCAGTAATGTGACCTTGAATCTTGATAATTTAATGTTTTTAAATGTACTTCAGATCATTTATTCTCCAAATTTGGCCACATTAAGATTGTAGATTTCAACTCTCAGAAGGTCCCAGTCAGCATGGGGAATTATGGAATTGAAGTTCACAAGTCTTAAAGTTACCAACTTTGGACACCCCTGATTTATACCATTACAAGAAAACGACTGAAAAAGAGGCTGAAGGTCATTTTATGAGCAGAACAAGTCAGGTTCCAACTCTCATCTGGATCACCATCACAAGGACATCTTTGGTATCCATAAAAGTGTTAATTTGCTTGTATTAATACGATTGAAAATTTCATCATGCATACCTTTGCCAGCAAAATTAACCCTTAAAAATCATGCCTAATAACAAAAAAAATTCTTAGCAAAGCAAACTTGATAAAGTTTCAAGAGAGATTTGGAGTTGTGTTGAAGCTGACGCAGCCTAAAAATAGACATCAAAAATAAAGATTTCCTTTTATTGAGTTAGACTATAGATTATCTACTCTGATACTGCCTACTTAGGCTTCAGACATATTGTCAATAGGCAGAGAATGGTATTGTATTTTGAAGTAATCTCTGATCAATCACAAAACATATGGGGCTAAGAGCTGAGGTGGCGCAATGGTTAGAATGCAGCACTGCAGGCTACTTCGGCTGACTGCAATTGGGCAGTTCAAATCTCACCAGGCTCAAGATTGACTCAGTCTTCCATCCTTCTGAGGTGGGTAAAATGAGGACCCAGATTGTTGGGGTCAATATGCTGACTCCGTAAACTGCTTAGAGAGGGCTGTAAAGCAGTGTAAAGTGCTATATAAGATTATTGCTATTGCTACAACAGGAAAGGCATGCTGAACTAACTCACAGGTATGGAGCTATAAACCTACATAAATCAAATCTAAAATATACTGTTGAACCTGTTCTTGTATGCCTCTCCTGAAAGTAATCCTCCATTGCTATTCAGATCAAGGAATCTTTTACAGAATTTTAATAATCTGATTTCACTGGTTATCTCAAAATCATTTTAGGCGATTCACTTAGGAGAAGCTCTCAATATTAATTAATAAAGCAACTTCCTAAAATATACCAGACACATACCTCTTGCAATGTTATAGGCTCAGTAACTGCAACAAAATTTTAATTCCTTGAAATGGCAAGCATGAGAGAAACACTGCATTTCCTACACCGCTACCATCTACTGCTTATAGCTGTTTCAACTTCTGGTCCTGGTCTATTAGCCTATGAAGCTGGCTGGGTTAACAGTGGTCCAAATGCAGAAGATCAACAACCTCCAACAAGCCATGCAACCCATTAAGAGATGTTTTATTTATAAACAATTCAAAACATTGGTAGGATCAGGAATAGCCACAACTCTTTCTGGTCTATTCAAAATACTACCAAAGGTGTATCTAACACTTAAGAGATTATAACCCTGGGCCAAAGAAGCAGCTTCCCAAAACAGTAACAATGGTGGGTGGGCGGGGGGATGCTTTTTGCAGGCTACCTAGCTATTCCTAGACTTGGGTTTTCCAGTGGTACCTGTTTTGGATAGCCTGCCAGTGCTTTTGCTGCTTCCTGTACTATCGCCTCTTGTGAGAACAGAGATGCCACTGAAGCTGCTGGCTTTGGTCACAGGGGGCTTCAAACTGCGAAGTGAGCTGTCCGAATCTGTGCTGCTCCATGGACGGGGTTCCGAGTACTTTAGCTCGTTGTCTGTACTGCTCTGGAGACTGTTTGCCGACCTTCCTGAAGCATCCTTGTTGATTCTGTAATCCATAAACTTTAGTTTTTAAAGATGGAAGACTCTTTGCCAAAGCAACAAGGAAAGAAAGGAAAGGAAACACGTGCAGAATGCTTTGGGATATAAAAACTAATTTATTCAATACCTAAATATCTGTCGTCTTTGCTGGGTACTGTTGGCTTCATCCTCTTGAATTCTGTTGGCGTGTTCAATAGAATTGCAACTTAGTACCTTCTCATTTGCATTTAGAAAAAAACATGGTTTTTTTTCCAAAACAGATACTGATTATGCTTACCTTTTGTCAATAATATAATTCTCTTGGGAACACAGCGACTAGGGAGGAAACAGTGCAGAATAAAAATCACCACCATTAAATGATTCTATCATCAATCCATACTTCAATAAATGTCTAAATATCTATATAGAAACAACAATGGGTAACCGGTTGCAAGCAATTTTTAAAGAATGCTCACTGAATCCTTCAGCCAGGCAAATGTAATCATTCACATTTGGTTTTAAATCAACAAATGGGAAGCAGAAAAACAAAATGGAACTGCTAGTCAGCATAATGTGCGTATGGGCATCACAGTCCTCTGTTACAGAAGGGGAACAGAGGAAACCACAGCAGGATTTATTACTCTTTGTTTCACTATCTTTTATTTGCAACCTAGGAGAAAAAGAAGCTGGGCAAAGAAGTCTGTGCATTTTGCGGTGCACTCTCCAGCCCAGGTTTCAAAAAGTTAATTTAAAACCTGCCAACCTACCATCTGTGAGCCTTGGCTACTGTTCTTAGAAGATGCCAAATTACCACAATATGAATGATTAAAACAAGTATATGACTATCACCTGTATAAACAGATGCCCAAACTTTTCAACATCCATGACTAGACATAATTGTTATGAGCAATCTCTCCATAAAATGGGAAATGGTTTAATTAAATAGCACCTCATAGGAGGAAATAAGAGGTAGTGCTACTATATCTCTATATCATCATCATCATCATCATCATCCCCAGCCTAGAGAACCAATTTGTTGCTCTACCCACTACTTTATAAACGTTATCTTAATGCGATCATGAATGGGAATGCAGACACATTTTTTTCCAAATATTTTGAGCACTTTAATTACACACTTTAACTTTATTGTTCTTACACATAGTCAAAGATACTGTGGACATTCCTTAATACCTACATCTTGTGCAAATATTCGTTCTCTAGCTCTCTGGTACTCTTCTTCTCGCTCTTCTATAGATTTGCTTCTTCTGTCATCTTTTAATCGTATTCGCATCTAAATTAAATAAGTTGTTAATTGCCGATTTCCATTGCGCAATATAAGCATGCAGTCAAGATACTGTAATGTTCCATATTTACCTGATTATCATCTTTGTCTAGACTAGAATTCTCTCGTTTAAGGATGTACCGTTTTTGAAAATCTTCACCTTTTTCATCTTTTATATGTTCGCAAAACTTCTGGTCAGGTCTTTTGGGGAAAAAGATTAAAATAAAATAAATAATTATAAATATGAAGGAAATTTTTTGTGGTCCTTAGTTTGAGGTAAGATACATGTGGACAACAGGTCATTTCGTGCTATAAAGGTTATCAGAATATCTTGTAGGTTTTAATTTTGTTTGTACATTGGAAATCTATGCGGAGAATCTGATGTAGAGCTGCTACATCCCTCATTCACACAGGTATAGTCCTCGATTTATGACCATAATTGAGCTTGGCAATTAAGATTATAAGTTGTGCTAGTCATAGAAAAGGTCATCACATGACCAACCCAATTTCACTTTTGCAATGTTCATTAAGTGAAACGCTGAGGTTGTTAAATGAACATTGTGGGTTGATAAGCAAATGTGGCAGTTGTTAAGCAAGCCAAATGTTTGCTATGGGCCAGTTTTTATTGTAAGTAAGCACCAGTTTCTGGCAAAATCATCATAAATCAGTCACATAACTAGGGGGTGCTTCAAACAGCTGTAAATGCAGACCAGGTACTGAGCGTCCAAAATGTGTTCATGTGGCTGAGGGATGGACCTTAGAAGTGGATCGTAAGTAGCTTTTGGATCAGTCATAACTTCAAATGGTTGCTAAGCAACTGATCATAAGACAAGGACTACTTATATGTATATTTGAACATTTTATTTAAGATTTGGGTTATGGTTATTGCAAGAGAGAGTGAGAGAAATCTTCATCTTGAGGATAATGACAGAATAAAACCTACCATAATAAAAATGGTACTGTGCATCCCATGCCACCTTCAGTGGCAAAATATAAAAGTAGGATATAAAAAATAGTCAAAAATATGGTTATAATAATCTAACTAGAATAAAACCAAAGCCCTATTCTGACCCTCAGAGTAGCTGGAATGCTTTGTAGCTATGTGCAATTCAAATGTTTGCCAAATGGATTTTTTCATTCTTTTTATTTTTACTATTATACTTTGGTAATTTTATAAGGGAGAAAAAAGCAAAAAAATGAAAAAAGAGTCATAAACTGAAGAGAGAAGGTATGTATAAGCATCATAAGCTTAAGTAAATCAGTTGCAAATTCTCAAAACATTAATTGAATTCTATATATGCAAATATCTTGTGTAATTTTATACAGATCAATATTAAAATCAAGTTAATGTAAATGTAAGTTACAGTTAAATATTGTCTATTTCCAATTAACAAATCACCTGAGTTAATGTTAAAGTGTTAAGCAAAATCAAAATTTGGACATGGTAAATGGCTGTGAGTTGAATTATAGTCCAAAAATTGTTTTTATATCAAATTAAATTTTGATCCAAATGTCTTTTTTAAATATAAATAGAAACTTGATTTGTCATTTTTCTGCCGAAGGAATTATATACGAATCCTGATGCAAAGCACAGAGTTAACCTATCAGCAGTTAGCATATATAAAGTTACTTCAAAATATTTTGAAGAAATATCAGGTTTAATTATATTTAATAAAAAGATGACAGAATGAAACGGAATTCAAATTTTAGAATTTGTTTCATTTTAAGTCAATTGCCAAATTTTATAATATTGGTAACACAAAGAAGCCAACTTGATTGTTACATTTCCAACTATTTACAGAAAATTATTAATTAGTGACCTTGGAGGGATACCTCATTAGTAAAAACCTCTTATGCTAGTTTCTCTGAACATGGTATTCACTATAAATGTAGCATTTTTCTTCCACTAAATTTCCCCTTGCTATGTATCAGTTGTTCTTTTCATTTAACTTAACTCACTTAACAACAGTTAACTCGGACTGGCAACTTTGTTGCAAACCAAGCAGTCATAAAGCAGGACATCATGCTGACTTGCAATAGCAAATTATAGCTGCCATTTATCCATGTAATCATGCAATTTATAACTTGTCCAGTGTTTGTGTTGTACTTCACCAGCAAAGCCTAGAAGTACTCCAAGCGTTTTGTTGTAAACTTCCCAAATTTAGAGACAAATTTCTAAGACTAATTTCTAAATCTTGTTTCTGAGATTTCATTAGATCAATACTGCTTTTTTTGAAGATATTGGAATTGCTAAGGTGGATTTGATCTTTTGAGGAGCCTCTCAAAGGATGCGATTTTTGTCTTACTGATACTTGAATCTTGTGATCTAAACAATTTCTTTGTATTTTCATCTTCATGAAAACGAATGTTTCATAATGAAGCGAAAGGTGATAATCTGGGCTAATTCTGTTTTCAATGTCTTACTTTTATTATCACATTTAATTCCCCCCTCCCCCCACCATGGATTCTTTAATTTTAGGCTATAATTGAAAGACACGGAAGCTAAGAAATGAATATTTTACGGGAAAGAAAGGTTTCAGAACAAAGCCATACATGCCTACAATTGTAGATTCCTACTTTTAATGGGATCATGAGATACTTTTAGCTTTTAAACATCCAACTTCCCGGATACCAAGAAACTTTTGTAAACCCTTTTTTTAAGGTGTTAAAAATAATTATAATTGTGGTCCATAAAAACATACAAAATTATATGTCCTCAGACACTTCTTACTTGGGAGATTTGCAAAAAAGCAGGATCGAGTTTCTTTTTAATTCCCGAATTGCATTATAAAAGGATGAAATAATTCTCAAACGCTACCTAAGAATTATTGGATGACACAATGTAATTAGCAGGCACTTCGGAAAACCTTTAGACTGTCTTACCTCATTTTTTTCTTAAAGGTCCCTGAATTTACTGCCCTGCTATCACCACTCCACTCCACTGAGTCCTCCCAGTGTGCACTGGGTTGATGATGTCATTAACAGCACAGACCGGCACTGGAGCGGGGAATCTCCCTATGAGGAAAAGGTAAGTTGGGTTTTAGATTGCCAAGGTTTTCTAGCTAATTTCTTATTTTAAATCCCCTGAGATATAAAATAAGAACACTGAAAACCTTTAAATAATTTACATTGTCTATTGGTTCAAGGAAATGCCTGCTAATTATACTTGGGCCTTCCAGATTCCAGCTGAGATTGTCTTTGCCTTGAAAAGTATTCTAAATATAGCTTGCTCTCCAAAAACTTCATCAACAGCTGCCACAATGCTGTTTCCAAACCACCTCATGCAGAGGGTTATAACAAATAGATGCAGTTATCCGTTGCATCTTGTTACATTAAATTTTAAATAGAACTTTTGGTCTCCTAGTTCATTTCTCCAACTAAGCAGCGGGGGAAGGATGGGATGGATATTGAAATACAATACAATTAAAGGAGTACTGAAATGGAATCACTCCAACTAGTCAGTAATTACCAGATTCTGCTTTTCTGCAAAGTCCAATTTAACTAATTAAAAAAAGAGACAGAGGCAAAACTCATGACTTTACGGCGACATCCAGTTCATCTGCCGAAGTTTTTCCTCAAAGAAATATGTGTCATTTTCTAGAAGGAAATTACTGTAATTCAGAAACATATTTTTTTTACAGAATGAAAACAGGATATATTTTTAGAGACATAATGGATAGGCTTCCCCCTCTTCTCCAAATCCAGAAGAAAACTCCGTAATAGTTGTGATGCTTACAGAATTAAGGATAAATTTTCACGAAGAGATATTGTAATTGTCCTGCTTTGATCATAAGCTCAAACTTCCATCGCTGATGAAATTCGATTCAACTCTTTAAATAATTAAAAAAAAAAAAGAACAGCAACTTACATTCTGGTACTGCTAGTTTTATTCACGATCACTGATTTCCCACTCTGATCCACGTTGTGCTCCAGTCCAAAATAAGCAGCTACTCTGTGCAATAACATTCTATGGTACGAGGTCATTGGGGGGAATTTTTTTCGTGGGATTCTGAAAAGAAGCAAGTATGTTTTAGGCTGACATAAGCCTCAGCTCATCTCCTATAATTACCTGTCGTCCAATGACACTTACTCATTATTCCCAATGAAATCTAAGATTTCCTGTTCTAATTTCAGCAGCATCATTCTGTCCCTGGAAGGCAAAATATAACATTCGTTAGCAGGGAAAGTGTCAAGTTGGGCAGACTTTCAGAGTCTGTAAACATATTAAACAAGTATATTCTCCATAATAAAATAATTATGCCAAGTGTAACAATATAGTAAGGATGCTTTTAATGGTTGGACAGCACTTAGCACCTCCTTTGATTTCAGATAGTTTAGGTGGCTCGCAGGAATAATCTGTGTTGTTTTGTCTTGAGCGAGTTCAAATAAACTATCACATCCCCCACCCACCCACCAGGACTTTAATGACTGCTCAGTTCTGAATATTTTTGCTACTTTGGGCCAGTCGTACAAATACTCTAAATTCACCAGAATATTGTGGGGATAAAAGAAGGCCCCAGTAATTAACTCAAATCTGTCAACTGTAATCCTAATCTTGTATAAAGGAACACTTATTAAACAAAATGTATACAGATAGCTTTCACTGACTCTTCTAACAATGAGTACTGTTGCTATGTAACATGATTGCCATTTTATATTTAAATACTACATATTAGGGAGAGAGGGAAGGAGAGGGCGGGAGAGAGATATATCCAAAGGAAAAATTAATATAACTCATTTTCTGTTTGGATTAATGAAAGGTTAATTAAACCCTGGCAGTAGAATAAGAAGTCTATGCAAAAGATCTGAAAAAGGTAAATTTTAACCACAAAAAAGTTCATCATTTTATAACACAAAGGAAATAGGCAAAAAGTATTTGGGGAGAAATGTGTTTTTTTCCCCTCTGTAAGTAATGAGCAAAGGTGTAAAATAGGAGGAGGAAGGTATATTGGATATGCTCCCCGTCTTGAGTTATTTGTAAAAATAATAAAAGTGGGATACAAATCAATCAATCAATCAATCAAATCAAATGGTAATTGCACTGATCGCAAAGCATGAAAATCTGAATGGGTAAGGATAATTGTGTGTGAGAAACAGAAAATTTGCTATAAGCAGATGGAGTGTAACTTTGTAAAATAGAATAGAATAGGTTTCAATTGCTTATTATGCAATCCTAACTATCTGTTGAAGTCTGTATCTGTCCTGTTTGGTTGCTGTGCAATTATTTTACAGGGAAATAATTTTAATTAGGCATTATTAAATCATTTAATGTGTGTCTGTGTTTGTCTTGGCCCTAGACGTTTTGGCATATGGGTTCTGATGAGCATACTATACATGCATAAATAGATGCACCTGCATCACATGCACATATTTATTACATGGGGCAGATATGCTGGGATTGCTTTCAGAAACTCTAAGTTGATAAGATGGAGAAGCTGGGTATTCCATAGGGCTTTGTCTAAAACTTTTTTTCCATCTCTTCTCTTTCAGGAAGGTGGCCACTACTGAGTTAAATTCATAGTAGTCTTCCTCTAAGGTAGCAATAGCACTTAGGACTTATATACCACTTCATAGTGCTTTACAGCCCGATTTACAGAATCAGCCTAGTGCTCCCAACAATCTGGGTCCTCATTTTACTGACCATGGAAGGATCAGAAGGCTGGGTCAACCTTGAGCTGGTCAGAATTAAATTCCTGGCAGTAGAATGCAAAGTTGGCATGTAATATTGCATTCTAATGCACCACCACGACTCATATACAGTAGGTAGCTGTATCATATACTGTATTTTTCAGAGTATAAGTTGCACCTTTTTCCCTCAGAAAAGAGACTGAAAATCTGGCTGTGTCTTATAAACTGAATACAGCATTTTTTGCCTCCCGAAACCCCTCCCCCTTCACCAAAATGGACATGCAGAGCCCGTAGAAGGCTTTCAGAGAGCTCCTGGGGGCTGGGAAAGGCAGAAATGAGTGAAAAACAGGCCACGACTCAATTTCCCCCCCCCAAGCCCCCAGGAGTACTCTATAAGCCTCCTAAAGGCTATGCATGCAATTTTTTTGACAAAAACCGGGCCCATTTTTTGCTTGTTTGGTGGGGGCCCATCCCCCAGGAGCACTCGGCAAGCCCCCTAAAGGCTATTATGCCTTTAAAAAAAATGGGCCCATTTTAGCAAAAAAAAGGCCATTTGGGGGAGGTTTGCAGAGTGCAAAAACTTTTTTTTTTAATTTGCCTCTTCAAAACCTTGGAGCGTCTTATACTCCGAAAAATATGGTAAACTCTTCAAAATGCCTAGAATCCCATTCTAAATTTCATGGCGACAAAAACATGGAAACAAATAACAGAAAAAAATAGAACTTTACTTGAAAAAAAAAAGGCAAAAAAAGGTTTTCTGAATATACCAAGGTTTTTTTTTTAAGGTATAAAATCAGTCAAAACACCTCCAAAAGGAAAGCAAGGATTCTTGTGTATCTTACTAGCCAGGAACGAGGAATTTCATGCTATCTAGAAATATTAGAGAACAACTCCCACCATTGGTCTTCTTGGAGAAGATAAAGGACAGATTAAGAGTAATCTTGGAAGTTGTGGGTAACGTCTCTTCCTGAACTCAAGTTTACTTATTGAGAAGAATTAAGATGCTGTAATTTGAGACTTACTACCTGATAAATTGCATGCTCTTAAATGGATAGAATTCCAGAGAGTTGCTTAAGTTCAGTTGTGTATGGTGGTTTGTCCCCAGGTACTGTGGTTTATTTTGTGTGGTTGCTATCTAATCTGAATGCAACATAGTAGTTTCTGCCTAGACAAGCAAGAAACTGAATCTACAGCTGTAGTTTGTTCTGAATTCCACCTCTAGCTTCTTATTTTTGCAAGACATATACTGCTGTCTTTGGATGAGTCATCAACCTACCATGTTACCATATCAACAAACCACAGGCAGGCAATGATTTCTAGCTGCACTGCTTCAAAGGAAAAAAATAACATGCCTCCAGGCAAGTTTGCAGCCAACCACAATTGCTGCCTTTGAATGCAGTCATGGCAACTGATTTTACCTAAGAGGTTAGAAAAAAACAAACTAATATCATACACTTCTGTTTAAAGCTCTTTGCCACAATCGAGAACATAGTTTTGACCATAATTTCTGGTGCAAGCTGCAGTTAATGTAAAATTGAATCCCAGATTCTTTCCTCACAACCTCACAAGAAGCAAAGAATCACTATCTACTCTTGTGAGTTTGTTCTTGTTGTGCTAAACCATAATTTGGTGTGATTTCTAAATATGGCTACTGTAGCTCATGCTTGCATAAAGTTAGACCTAAATTTAAAAAAATTCTGAAACCGTTCCTGCATTTAACAGTGTTCCTATATAGGAACAGCCAAGAGAGCTTTGTGAATGCATCAAAAGATAGAATAAAAATAATATTAGGGGCTCCATTACAATTTGAAAAAGAATGTGCAGAAAAATATGACTTTAAATGTTTTTCAATAAAGTATCCAACAATAGAGCAAAATTTACAAATAGACCAAAGGAAAATGAATGAGAAATTCTGTAATATATACATCCATTTCAACATGAACATCATATCATGGCCACTTGTTTACCTGGGGTTGTTTTTCAATGTATTAACTAAAAACTCGTGTAGATCTATACCAGTTGAATCTGTATATTCTTGACTAGAATCTAAAATAAAAATAAATCCACAGTTAAGAGAACGCATTAATTCTTTCAATAAAACCAAGCCATTAATATTTTAAGACTGCTGTTTACAGAATAGCAGCTATGATGACAAAGTCTGAAAGTTTAATGGCACACTGGCATGGATAGTCGATTGCTTCTCTATTAACAGAAAATGTGAGGGGAGAAAATCTCCCTTACTTTGTTTCCCTAACCCACAGATCTCTCAATAACCCTTCAGATGGTGAAGGACTGTAAACAAATGGAAAGGCAAGGAGAATGGGTCTATTTTTTTCCATTATGCCAGGCCCATCGTAAGGTTTATTCTGCAATATTCATGTGTTTTGCATTTCATTGTAG